CGTCTGGGGGCGATCTTGGGGTCTTGCGGGGGGTGGGGCCCTCGTGGGCCGTCTTGGTGCGCTCGTCCGGGCCTCGTGGGCAATCTTGGGCGATCGCACAAGTGCCCACAGCCGCGCGGGGCCGTTCCGGGCTTGTCGTTGGGAAAGTGTGCAAAATCATCCGGAAATGCAACAAAGTCAGCGCTTGATGCTTAGCCTCGTGAGGCCGTCTTCGGAGTCCTAGTGTGCCCGCTTGGGCCTTCCCTGGGGCCTCTTGGGAAAGCTTGGAGCCAGGGTGGGGGTCTGGGGCCGTCTGGGAGTCTTGTTAGGGCCCTCCCGGGCAGCTCCTAGGGCGTCTTGTGGGACAACTTGAAGTTCTGTTCGGCTCTCTGGGGCCTGTTCTGGGCCGTCTTGGGGCCCTCATTGGCCGTCTTGGTGGGCTCATGAGGGCCTCTTGGGCCATCTCGGTGCAATATTCGGAGGACCTGGAGCCGTGCGAGGCCGTTCTGGGCCCGTCCCAGGGGAGAACTTGGAAAGCCTTGGGAAATGCATGGCTTCTGCTTGTTTTTTGTTGCCTCGTGGGGCCGATATCGGGGTCATCCCGGCCCCTCGTGGGCCGTCCCGGCGGCCGTTGGAGCCATCGTGGGTCCAGGGTGGGGGTCTGGGGTTAGGTCGGGCATGTCCCCCCACAGGCAGATTTTGGACGAAAAAATAATATATATAAATATATATAATATATATATAATATATATATCTATATATATATATATAGATATATAGTTATAATAATATATATTAACATAATATATATATATATATAAGATCCAGGAATAAACGAAAAATCGTCCCCGTACTATTTTTAAGCTGTGTTTGAATGTTCCTCCCGTAGAGGGACAGGCCCGCCTTAAGGCCAGGGTGGGGGTCTGGGGCCGCCTGGGGGTCCGGCGCGGGTCCTCGTGTGCAGCCCCTGGGCGCTCTGGGCGCTCCGGGCCGCTCCCGGGCGCAGCTTTTTCACTAAAAACCATTATTTTTGCACGCGCTGAGCCTGGTATTGTACGTAACATGGGTGACGTTGAGCTCCAACTCGTCCTTCCACATCTCGCCAAGCAGCGCCAGTGCCCGCTGCCACTGCTCGCCCTTCTCGCACGAGCTGATGCCAGCGCTGTAGCAGATGCTGTCGGGCTCCAACTTCGCCTCCCACATCTCGCTCAGCAGCACCAAAGCCCGCTGCCACTGCTCACCCTTCTCGCACGCGCTGATACCAGCGCTGTAACTGATTAGGGCTAACCCGTGGACTCCGTGCACGAAATCTGCACGTAATGGCACGTGATTGTGCACATGCATCCCGCGCATGCTACTGCGTGCTGATGTTTGCTGCCGCTGGTGCGTGCTGTTGGTAATGCTTGCCGCTGCCGCTGCCGCGTGTCGTTGTTGCTTGTGGCTGCAGGGTGCTGCTGATGGCCACGTCTGCTTGGGGCGTGTGCCGCTGACCACTACCTGCTGCTGCTGCTGCCGTGTGCTGCCGCCGCTGCTGCCTGCCTCGCGCTTCGTGCTGCTGCCCTTCGGGATATAACGGGGGCGCCTCGGGCCGCCCGGGGATGCTCCCGAACCGCCTCGAGTCGGTACCTGGGGAAACCCACAACGCACCGATACCGCTACCCCATCGGACCTCTCCCGGGGTGCGGCCTGACCAGGACTTCGAGGCGAATCCAGCGGTGGCGACGAGGGGCTCCCGGGAGGCCCCAGGAGAGGGCGAGCACGAGGGAAGGGCAGAGGCGCGGGTGTGCCAGCCTCCTCCCCCCCTGGGCACCATTGGCCAGGGCCGGGAGCCGAGAGGCGGGAGGGGAGGCCGTGGGCCTCACCTGTCCCACGGCGGCCCACGGGGGGGGGGTACGCGTGCCGCCCGAGGACAGAGGACGGAGGAGGAGGTCGGAGGAGGACAGGAGGACAGAGGACAAGAGGAGGACAAGAGGACAGAGGACAGAGGACAAGGGGAGGACAAGAGGACAGAGGACAGAGGACAGAGGACAGAGGAGGACAGGGTGGGGGGGGCCGCCGCCGGAGAGGACAGGGGAGGAGGTCGGAGGAGGCGCCGCGCAGGCTCTCGGAGGATGCTCGAGGGCGCTGCGGCGCATAGGCCCCCCCCCGTGGGCGGCGGGCGCACAGTGTCGTCGGCGTCGTCACCATCGCCATCGTCATGGGCAAGTTGTGCAGCGGAGGTCCGTCCACCAAAGAGCCTGCCACCGGAAGCCCAACCCCGAGGCCCCAGAGCGCCCACTGGATGTTTCTGGTGCGGGAACGTCGCGCTCGCCATGGCAGAGCCATCGGAACCCAAGAGGCCCAGGACACCCTGGAGGCAGGCGGGGAGTCTCTTGGCATGGATCCCTGCTGTAGGGGGGGGGGGGGGATATGGCCTCCAAGAAGGAGGCCGCAAATCAGAAGGCGCGGGCCTTACATCTACAGACCAGATCCGCGCCTTCTTGGAGGCGGTTTTGGGGGTGTCGTGGAACCTCTCGGGCGCCTCGTGGGGACTGATCGGGGCCTCTTGGGGGGCCTCCCGGCGTTCTGGGGGGCCTCTTGGGGGCCTGCTGGTGGTATCTGGGATCATCTTGGAGCGGAGGGCGCGAAATTTTCGTTCGAGTTCCCCTTCTCAGGGCCATCTTCGGCCGTCTTCGGAGGCCTCCTGGGCCACCTTGGGCCCTCTTGGGCCCTCTTGGGCAGACTGGGGGCCCTCTTGGGAGCCTCGGCCGTGTTGGGGCGATCTTGGGGGCCCATTGGGCCGTCTAGAAGCGTCGAGACTCCGAAAAGGCAAGAACGCGAAAGCCCTCCAAAGGCCACGGGGAAACCGATGATTTTGGCCTCTCGGGGCCCTTCCGTGGGGCTGTACTGCGGCCCTGTCGGGCAGTCTGAAAAGTCGTGTTGGCGACCTCTTGGACCGTCTGGAGGCGTCTCGGGCCACCTTGGACCGTCTTCCTGGGCCGTCGCAGGGCCCCCCAGGGGGGAGCCTGCAGCGCGCCGAGGCCGGCCGAGGCCAAGTTTGAGTCTTTGGGTCCGTTGTCCTTCTGGCGGGCGGTAACCGTTCCCCCCGCGTCGCGTGATGGATTAGGACTGGCCCCGTGGACTGAAGTGCGCGCAGGCTCACTGGCATGCGAGGGCGCGGGTCGGTGACCTGCTTTCGCAGTGCCATGCCTGGGTGGCTGCCAGCCTCCTTGTCTGGCTGCGTTCTTCACAGCGTGCCTGCTGGCCCGCGATCCTGACGTCTTGGCTTCTGCTTCGCTTGGTCGTCCGATCGCCGCCGCTTGCGGCCTGGTGATGTTTGACGAGAGCTCCTGTTGTTTACTACTCAGTGTTGCCACAGCCTGCTGTCTGCGGATGGGGACTGTTGCTTGCTGCGGTCTGGAGCTGCGGCCACTACCAACGAATGCTGCTGCATGTGCTGCTGCTCGGTGCTGCACTGGCACTGCTGCCTGCTGATGCCTGATGCTGCTTGATGCTGCCCGATGCTGCCTGTTGCTGTTTCGTTCTGCTCGTGGGGACCTCCTGGGGTCCTGCGAACCAGCCCTGGTGAACATCTGTGCTATGCCCGTGCTTCCCCTGGGCGACCCTCCAGGGAAGCGGGCGCAGCCGGGGCGGCCCGCCCGGGAACGTGACTCTGCAACCCCTTGCGGCCCTCTCTGGAACGAGCTTGGGAGCAGCGGGGGTCTTCTGGCAGCCGTGTGGGAAGAAGCGAGCAGAGATGTCTTGGAGGCGACCGTCGGGCCATGCAGGGTCTTGTGCAGCCTCTCCAGGCCACCTTGGGGTTCCTGGCGGCCTCGCGGGGCCCCGTAGAAGGGTTGCTGGGTCATCTCAGGGCACTCTGGGGCCTTCTTGGAGCTGTCCTTTTAGGGCCCTCTTGGAGGCATCGTGGAGGCCAGCAGGAGCCATATTGGGCAGTATTCGGGGCATGTTGGGCCCTCTTCGTTGTTGTTGTTGCTGCTGCTGCTGTTGTTGCTGATGCTGTTGTTGTTGCAGCTGTTGACGAATGTTAACTCCTACACAATAATTATTGTTGGACCCCCCAGGCGTTTTGGCGCTCTCGCCTCGGCGCCGCCTACATGTTCATCGAAAATGAGGCTCACGCTCGAGCGGTTTGGGGGGCACCAAAAACGGCCCCCCAACAACAACAACAACAACAACAACAACAACAACAACAACAACAACAACAACAACAACAACAACAACAACAACAACAATTACTAGCACGTGGGGACACTCCGTTCTCACCAGTGCCAGGGTTTTCATAGGAGGCGGGCAATACCCCCACTTTGTGGGGGCCGGTTCAAGCTCTACCAAATTTCCAAACGACTCTTCGCCACCACCCACACCCAGCTTCCCGCCCTATGACGTTCGGACACATCACTTCGTGGCAAGCGGACGACCGTGGCTACTATTCAGGGCCCCGCGGCCGACGACGACGGCGTGCGCGCGCGAAGAAAAAACGAATGAGTCCCGCATGGTATTATTTGACAGGGATGATGGCCC